AATCTCTCAATGCGAATATGCCAAGGCACGAATTTCGACATTGGTGAGGGCCACAGAATAGAACATGTTGAATGTGGCACCTATGCCTTTCTACGGCAAACATTTTTCTGATGACATTGTTGTAGGAATCGGCCTCGGAAAAAGGGACAGTATGTTGGCCGAAGAGAAGAAATCAGTGAGCAGCTTCGACACTCTGGCCGGCATAGGCCTTGGGAAAAGGGCAGGACTTTACTCAGCGGTGAGCAGTTTTATTTGTTGTTGTGTCTCAAGCTGTTAAAAAAAGTTCCACTCAAGTAGATAAGACGAGGTGGAATTTTATGGCCCTACTCTTTTATAACGGGACCGAAAGCTTGACCCAATAAATTTAATTAAATAATGTTAGCTTAATTCTGATGCACTTCCGAAAAAAGGGATTTAAGCCATCCGTTACGGCCATCGAGATTCAATAAATCACCGCTAAAGCGAAAGAAGAGTATCGACCCGAAGCGTTTACACTATGGGTTCGTTCCGCTAATTGCAACCAGGGTTTGTAGGAGGACTCTAGTTGAATGAACAGTTGAAATGAAGCTTTTGCACTAATCAGTTGAGGTGTGAGGGTGCTGTATAGGGTTTCTATTCGGAATCAAGGGACCTTAGAGCGATGGTTTGAATATACCTTAAGCGAATGGTTCGGTAGGCCATCTCATGCAGGAGTCAGTCCTTTTATCGTTCCACAGTAATCTGGGGCGCAGTTCGACTAGAGGGGGCACCAAATGATAATCACAAAAGCTTGCACAGGCAGCCGTGTTAAGATCTATAAAATCCTTGAACTAAGTTGGCTCGCAACGTCTCACCCAAGTTGGAACGACTCATGAACGTGAAGTGGCAAAAGGAACTAGCCAAGGAGCAGAATGTCTCCCCTCTCCCTACCTCCCTCCTTCCCCCACATCAAACGCCCTCCACTGTAAGCCGAACAACGCCTAAGCTGGCAACCTAACTACAAGGGATGTAAGGCTCAAAAGCAGAATGTGCGATCACTTCAAAGGGGAGAAATGGGTGAAAGGTCACAGCAACCGTAGTGAAAAACACAGCAGGGAGTCGTATTCGGTCCCTACGGAAGAAGGAGGGCAGTATTTTGCCACAAGGAATTTTTTCTGTTTGCATTCTCCCGTTTGTGTGCTTTATGTAGTTCTTTTCTTAGTCACACCAAAAGTTACTAGTAACTTTCTTGCGCACACGTTCAAGTAGCAAAAATGGTACTCTTCAACGGCTGCTAGCCACTCACCCATCCCCGTACACCGGAAAAATCCCCCTTTTGGGCAGTCGCAAAGTGGGCCTTTAAAACGCCCCGGACCGCGTGACACACATCGTGTGTCACACATTTGCTTCGGTGCGGTATTTAATTCGATTAATTTGCGTTTTCTTTCATGTTCTAATGTTGTCAAAGAACGTTTTCGGTTGCAGGAGATACATACCTCATGAGCGATTGAAAAAAGGAGAGAGTTACTGATTAATTATTGGTCAAAATTGATAAAATGACCGGAAGTGTGCCGCAGTACTGCTCTTCGCCATGTGTTAAACACTGCGCAAGTGGAATACTACTCATTTCAGTACTATTTCTTCCCCCAACGAGCTTACTTGGACAGCATGGAGAGCCAGTACCGGAACGAACAAGACTAGATTAGTCAGAGGAGCCGAAATCGATGACATGGCCTGAACTCATCAAAGACATGTAATTCAATAAAATGTTAAATATGAATTAAATCATTGTGCAATAATTTGTCGATTATGCTTTGTTCGAACAATTTCTCTGCCGCAATGAACATGCTGTAGTTTCCATTAATATGAGTTATTTAGTATGTAAAAAAGAATCGTTTTGGCTTATTGTACACGACCTTATTCTTAAAATCCTACTCTGTACAGCCTGGTGTACTTACCTTATCTCTATCCTTAGCGAAAATTCGCTTGAAAGCTACAGTGCATTAACCTATTGCCATAATGATTACTATGGGCTTGGACCCACGTAATGCCTGATAACAGAAGTCGGGCTGTTTCACATCTGCATTCATACAAAACTGACTTTTCCAGTTTCTGTTCAGGGCGCAAGACCACCCATATTTTGTCTGGGGTCGGGGTCCTATCCTATAGACCCCGGCCCCAGACAAAATATGGGTGGTCTTGAGCCCTGAGCAGAAACTCCTATGGTTCTAGTTGTGAATGGCATCTTATGTGGAAAACATTGTTACTACAGACATCGAATCAGTTCTGCATTCGTGCTCACACAAGAAACACGCAGGAAAATAGAGGATGCTTAAGGGATGTGCGTTTGAAACATGAGGTGTTCAAACGCACATCCCCTTAAGCATCCTCTATTTTTCGCATTTAACTCGGCCAACGATTGCAGCAGGGACCAGGGTGACCTGTTGCCAGCGAATCTATGGCGCAAGGGATGCCAGAACGCATCAAATTAGATTCAGAAACCCAGAAAGACTTTCAGCAACGTGACAAATTCACCGAGACTGTTTTTCAGGCAAGGTATATCAAATGAGGTGGCATGCTGCCCTGCATTTCACTTCGGCCTAAATTCTTCCGTCGCTTGTGATTCTGTGGTGAATAATCGTTTCTGTGTTGGTTATTCCTCTCTCAGACGAATCACTCCGTGTTCAACGTCGCGTGGCTTCGTAGGGTTGATGAAAGAAGAGGTGGTGTCCAAGTATAAACTAGAGTTGTGTAGAAAGGGCAATAAAGAGAGATATGACAAGAAGTTCTTGTAAGTCATACTGCTAGTAGGGCTGTATAGTGGGGAAATGGCGAAAGAACGGAGTGAAACGGTCAAAATCCTGCGAAGAAAAAGCCTCCGTTCTCAGTGACTTGTAAATCGATTTCGGACGAGTTTCCCGTAGGCATCTTACCAATCACCGCTACCGAAGATACGGCTGCATATGTGTACCCATATATGCATGCAGCATCACGGCCGCTTCATACCAATCCCTTCGCTTCATAATTTGCTTAGCAAATGAATGAATACGAGCGTCAGGAACGGTCGTCCATTTGTGGGCGGGCGGGCGTTTGGGACGTAAAGTTGTGGCTTGATAGGGCCCTTATAAGGGCACCTTCCTCGGGGAAACCGCTATGCAGCGCCTGCCCAGGGTCGCGGAATTCTATCCTGCCAGGAGTATTGATCCTAGTCGTCTTGGGGATTTATCGTGCCAACTGCCTTTAAACCCACCTCGTAGAAACTGGTGTACATTTGTGCACAATTGTAGTGGTGCATAATTACTGGAGAATTTTTAACAGAACAGAATTAATTAATGGTTTGGTATCACTGCTCCCAGCAGAGCATCAATACGTGTACATAACAGTCCGTTCCTGATCATAATAACCGTGTCTATAACTTCTAAGTTTGTCATTCGCGAACGCATTCAATTATTCTAGGAGCAACAGGTAGGAAGAAGGAAGCTCAGAGATAAAGACTTCGAGTAGGAGAGCTGGAACCGAACTTTGTTCAATGGAACGTGAAGTGGAAAAAAACCACGAGGTGAGAACTCACGTGGCTGCGTTTTTGTGAAGCAAAACAAAGGTCGAGTATAGACCAAGCACTCGAAAAACAAGTAAAAAATAGAAATGAAACAACCTTATAGGCAACTTTTATTCTGCTGTCCTTTTGTTTGTCTGTTCATGAAGCCGGTTCCGTCAGAAGAACAACTTGGAGAGGTGAGCAACTTGGAGAGGTGAGGTCAAGGTCGGGATTGGTTTGGCATGGGTATGAAGAGGACTCGTGACCCAAGCTAAGCCTCGTCCACATTGGGCAATGCATGCGCAGAAAATTAGCGGTGTCACCGAAAAAAGTTCGCTATTCGGCTACAGAACAGCTCCGAGATGGGGAAAGAAGTGGGATAAGGTTAAAGGGTTGGCAGACCAAATGCAGACACACCTAAAATGGGCAAGGCGCACTCGAGATGGGCGGGCTTCCCAAAAAAGGTCGGCAACTCGGTCCCGAGAGACTTCAAATATTGCAATCATGCAATGTTGCAATATCCATGGTGGGGATAAACAATTGCTGGTTCT